AATACGGTCTACTAGTTAAGACCGTAATTGCACTGCCTCAGAAGAATGTTAACCCGGAGGGAGTGGTTGAGCAAATGTTGGGCACAAAAATAGCTTCCGTAAGAACAAGCATAGTAGAACGTCTGACACAGACCGCTCCACCGAACCTCTGCAAATCAATTCCTAACCGCCGGATCCTAAGCCAAAAAATGGCTTTTCAAACACCGCCACTACTCCAAACCACCCGACCGTTCCCGAACAATGCATCGTCATCCCATTTGCAGCAATTTCGTTCAAACCCACCTCCTCATACCAGTCTTCGCCGAAACCCAAGAAGCAAGCCAATAACGGTGCCAGCCGGACCGCAGTTGCATCCAAGAGTACTCAAAAAACAGCAACTGCTATTTCTAATACCACAGCAAATACTAATGTGAGAGACAACGTTGCACTGACGTAAAGCAACTCGCTCAGTCTCCCAACCACAACCTATACTCTCGCGAATGTCACGCAGAAGCAACTGCATGCCATACCCAAAATATCTACCGACGTAGAGAAGACAAAAGCAGTTTCATTGAAAAGGACACAGATGGGCGACCTGAGTTAACATAACATCATAAGCAACCAGCTCGGTATTTTAACTAAGTCCACCAACCTGTCGAGAATCACCAGCCAATAGAATTCCATGCACTATGGTGAGGCCAGGCCTCCTCAGATTGTGATAAACGCTGTCGATGAGGGGGAAACGGGCCTGCTTTCGACAGCTGGTTTTCAGAACGGATCATGATAGGTTTGCCTTCTTACAGACATTTCGGGGTGCGAGCGCAAGCGAGCGAAGGACAGGCTACGAGAGTGCCGTCTAGACGCAGACGCATCTCTGTTTGAAAAGCACGGTAAGAACACGAAAACGGGTAGATGCATGCATTTCGTATTGTCTACTCACCACCATTAACAATAACCGGTATGCAACTATATAATAAAATATGCGTGTGACCGAATCAGCATGAGGTGCAAAATGAATGTTTGTCAATGGCGTCGCCCAGTTCCATGAGCACAAAGAATGCGAAGCAGTGGCTGACGCCCAGTAGCAGTGGCGCTATACTTGTGTGACCCTGCTTTTGATTCACGTAGTTACTTCTCCCACAAGCCAAAAAGGGTGCCACAAACTAGGCAGATGGCACTTAGGCACCTAAGACGATGGCAGTCCATTCAGAACCGGATGCCTGCCGAGCTGCGGTCAAAGTGCTGACAGAAACTGTCGTCCGACTTAAAACGCCATCACAGCAGGCGAACGACATCTGAGCCTCATTCAAGAATCAAATTGGTAACACTTTGAAAGAACTGTAGATCTTCGTATGCAAGCCTGTATGTACTTTGCATGCATTGTGAAAACTTAGTTGCTAGAGTGGGTAATTAGGCTGACACCGAACCCAATGCCAAAAGACTCGTTGATAATATCACCAAAAATGGCTAGCGACTGACCATACAACGGTCGGCATAACCTCACATCTGAGCCACGTCTTTCGGATCGCTGCTGAGAACCGAACCACTTACCGACTGTACCCACG